CCACAAGTAGAAAGAGGTGATCGATGAACTCAGACGGGCCCACCTACACAATTAATTCAAAAACCTAGTGCTCCAGCAAGAGTAATTCTTAGCGAGAATGAGCGACAGAGAGAGAGCGAGAGAGAGAGAGAGAGAGAGAGAGAGAGAGAGAGAGAGAGAGAGAGAGAGAGAGAGAGAGAGTGATGACCACCTTGCCGGCGGCGACGCGGTGGCGCTGGATGTACTCGGAGAAGGTGCTGCCGCGCGTGCCTGTCCATTGCCCACCATCTCTGTCTGCATCACATCGTGCTACAGATGTGCCGGGTGTGCCCCGTCCGGCTGGGGGGGGTGGGGGTGGGGAAGGGGGGTCACCGGGGTCCCCGTGAAGAGTGGGGGTACCCCCGTCCCCGCCGCAGTCTCAACCCTGTCAGTGTGGAGGGGGGTGGGTGGTTGTGTGCGGGCTCGCTATTCACAGGGGTGTGCGGGCTCGCTATTCACAGGGGTGTGCGGGCTCGCTATTCACAGGGGTGTGCGGGCTCGCTATTCACAGGGGTGTGCGGGCTCGCTATTCACAGGGGTGTGCGGGCTCGCTATTCACAGGGGTGTGCGGGCTCGCTATTCACAGGGGTGTGCGGGCTCGCTATTCACAGGGGTGTGCGGGCTCGCTATTCACAGGGGTGTGCGGGCTCGCTATTCACAGGGGTGTGCGGGCTCGCTATTCACAGGGGTGTGCGGGCTCGCTATTCACAGGGGTGTGCGGGCTCGCTATTCACAGGGGTGTGCGGGCTCGGGGGCTATTCACAGGGGTGTGCGGGTCCGGGGGCTATTCACAGGGGTGTGCGGGCTCGCTATTCACAGGGGTGTGCGGGCTCGCTATTCACAGGGGTGTGCGGGCTCGCTATTCACAGGGGTGTGCGGGCTCGCTATTCACAGGGGTGTGCGGGCTCGCTATTCACAGGGGTGTGCGGGCTCGCTATTCACAGGGGTGTGCGGGCTCGCTATTCACAGGGGTGTGCGGGCTCGCTATTCACAGGGGTGTGCGGGCTCGCTATTCACAGGGGTGTGCGGGCTCGCTATTCACAGGGGTGTGCGGGCTCGCTATTCACAGGGGTGTGCGGGCTCGCTATTCACAGGGGTGTGCGGGCTCGGGGGCTATTCACAGGGGGACCCTTCACAGGGGGGCCCCGGCCCAAGAGACAGGAGTCAACCAGCCGAGTCAACCAGCCGAGTGCGTATGCCAGGAGGACGGTGAGCGTGTGTCATGGCGCGCCGACAAAGAAGTCGGCGCACACGCACGCCCACAGGTCGGCCAGCGCGACGGCGACGGCGTCCTCGCCCTCCCGCGCACTCTCTGCGACCTTTAATTGATAATGAGGAGCTGATTAATAGCCCTCGCCCTACCGCGCACTCTCTCCGCAGTCTGCAGGACCGCCTCTGCCCGCCGCGGCAGCGAGGAGAGCGCCGCCAGCTCCGCGGCGTCGGTGGCGTCGGTGGCAAGGAGCCTGTGGGAGGGAGGGAGGGAGGGATTGCGCAGAGTCTTCAGAGCACCGCGTGGAGACGGGGGGGGGGGGGGGCGGAAACGGCAAATACCGCCAAATGCCCCCAAATGCGGCGGGAGGCAGCGGAGTCCGTGTCCTCCCGAGCGCTGGTCGGGTTCTGCTTCCAGTGCTTGGAGCCATCATACTTTCGGTTTCGCGGACCCGTGTTTTTCTTCTTTTCTGCGTCTAGGGCGACGAGCCAGGAGGCCAGCTGCCGGCCCTCGAGCAGCGCGCCAATCTGCGACGCGACACTGCCGATGGCGGGCCAGAGGCGAGGGTCGCCCGTCAGCTCGGCGAGCCTATCCGATCTCCACGGCACGTCCTTCAGCCATAGCAGAGGCGAGCGTCGCCCGTCCGCTCGGCTAGAGCCGCTGCAGGTCCGTCCGCCGCACATGCATCTCGGGCAATCTCCAGCAATCTCGGGCAATCTCCAGTAATCGCGAGCCGCTGCAGGTCAGTCCGCCGCACATGCGCCGCCAAGCACGGCCGCCTACCCTCGGGCAACCTCCAGTGATCTCGGGAAATCAGCGCACATGCGCCGCCAAGCACGGCCGCCTACCCTCGGGCAACCTCCAGTGATCTCGGGAAATCAGCGCACATGCGCCGCCAAGCACGGCCGCCTACCCTCGGGCAACCTCCAGTGATCTCGGGAAATCAGCGCACATGCGCCGCCAGGCACGGCCGCCTAGAAAACAGAACCCCAGCTCGCACAAAAAGAGACACATGGGCGCGCAATGTGCGCCGCCAGGCACGGCCGCCGAGCGGCGGCGAGGCAGCCCTCCGCCTTTGCGCGGATCCGCGGGCTCGGGCGCAGCGCCTGCAGCAGCAGCGCGCGCTCCCCCGCGTCGAGCAGCGAGGGCAGTGCGGCGGCACAGAACGAGTGGTCGAGGGCGAGTACGCTCTGCGCCGCGTCGCCGAACGCCGCAGCGACTTCGCGGGCGCCCCGCAGGGGCTGCGGCAGCTCGAGCGACCGCTCGGCCTCGACGCCGCTCCCTACTCTCGGAGCGAACCTCTCTCACTCACACGCTGCGCCCCTCGAGCGGGCATCTCCTCCTCTCGGCGCCGCTGCCTACTCTCGGAGAATCTCTCTCCCCCTCCCTCTGCGACCCTCGAGCGACATCTCCTCCTCTCGGCGGCGCTGCCGGCCGCGATGCCGAGGCGGAGTCCGGCGGCGGCGTCGACCTCTCGCAGGTACTCGAGGTTGGCCAGCAGCGAGCGCAGCTCCGGGAAGAGCTCCCAGCCGCGGGCGTCGGCCCAGGCCGGATTGAAGCAAAGGTGGAGCCTCACCAGGGCCACTCCCTCCCCGTCGCCGCTCCCCGCCCGCGCGGCCGCAAACTGGTCGAGGGTGGCGCAGCGCACGATGCGGGAGAGCGGCGAGAGGTCAAAGTAGTCGGAGCCCTCCGAGAGCCACGGCTGGCCGTACTGGGCGCGCCAGCGAGGCAGCACGAGCGTGCGGCCAGTCGCGCGGGCGAGTGCCACCGCACACTCGAGGCACGCCAGCTGGTTGCACAGGCCGCCAAAAGGCTGGTAGATGAGGTAGCGCGCCTCAGTCCAGCTGCCCTCCTGCTGCTGGCTCAGCCAGGGATAGGGTCGGCCGTCGCTCATTGACGAGAGGTTCTCGAGGTTCTCGAGGTGGATATCCTTTGGCCGCGTTGGGTAGCGAGGATTGGTGTGTACTTGTTACGTGAAAACCCGCTGGGACCCGGACGCCAGCACACACGGCTAGATTTCATGGCGGGCCGCCTAGGCCCTGGGGTCGGAGGCAGAGTCGGTGGGGGTGCCGCGCGCGGCGCGGGCTTCGCTGTCGGGGGCGTTTAGGGCGGGGTCGGGGAAGGGGGGTGGGGTCGGTCGCATTGGCGGCCGCGCGGCAGTGGCTGCGGGGGGGGCGGGAGGAGGTGGTGGCGCCGACCGCAATGGCGGCCGAGGACCCGACGTCGAGCGCCGGGCGAGATCGCGAGGGTCGAGGGTGAGCTCGAAGCCGAGGGCGGCGGCCGAGTTCTGGATGGTGAGGGCGTCGGCGGTGACGATGGCGGCGGAGATGGCGGCGGAGTGGAAGGTGTGGTTTCGTATCAAGAATTCTCTCTCTCGCGACGGCAATCTCATCAATCATGACCACCGCTCCCCCGCCCCCCGACACCGCTTGCGCCCATCTGATCGCCCGTAGCCTGCACCTCGTGGCCCGCAAGAGGCAGCCCCCCCGCCATAGGCGTGTCACCTCGCCCCGCGCGGACGATTTCTCTCTTTCGAGGACCTGTGCCTCGAGCTTGCAGCAGAGCCCGCGCGGCCAAAGATTGACCGCTCTGGGTGGGCGCCTCGTCGTGCCGCTCGTCGTCGTCGTGTGACGCACGGCCGGGCCCGAAATCGCTCACATGCCGACCTTCCTGCCGCTGGCCTTTGCGCTCGGCGTCCCAACGCCGCGGCCACTGCCCGTGCCCGCGGCGCCTGTGCGCGTCGTGCGTGCTTGGCCGCCTCCGGGAGCAGACCCGTCCCGCATTTGGATTGAGGGCGTCTCTTCCGGCCCCCTCGGCCGAGCGCCGGATCGGCTCTTCGAGCGCATCTTCCGCCAGCGTCTCGCCGCAGAGCTCGGTCGTGACGCGGCGGACCCGACCTTTCGCGGCATCGTCGACCTCGCACGGGCGCTCGTCGCGGAGAGGGGGCCGGACGTCGCGCTCGCCTCGCGGCGCGTGCTCAACGAGTGCTTCCCCGACTGGCCGCCCGTCGCTGCCCGGCGGCTGCTCCCTGCCAGCGTGTGTGGCGACGTCCGCGCGACAGGGAGGAAGGGGCTTCTCTTTTGGTTCGAGGTCGGCTCCTCCCCCGCGCCTCGCTCTCCCGCCCCCCCGCGCCTCGGGACGTCCCTCCCCGTCGCGTCCGCAGGTCCTCTTCGCGCGGCCCTTCCCCGCCTTCTCTGGCCGGCTCAATGCGTGGGTGACCTCGTGGGCGGCGCAGTGGCTGATGGGGCCCTGCTCGCTCAAGGGCTTGGCGCCCGAAGACCTCTCCGAACTGGTAGTTCTTATGTTGAGCTTATTTTAATTTCATATAGGCCTCGCGCCCGAAGACCTCGCGGACGCGCCGTCGAATCTGTGCGGCGGCGCGGGCGCGCAGGTCCTCGTCCACCGCTGCCGCTTCCTCGAGGAGTCTGCGTGCGCGTCGATCTGCGTCAACGCGTGCAAGATACCCACGCAGGCCTTCTTCAACGAGGAGATGGGCGTGCCGATGCGCATGGAGCCCTAGAAGCGGAATACGGATTCATACATCCGAACTAGCGCTCGAGACGACACGTCTTCAGCCGCCGTCCGCTGTCTTCCGCTGCATTCCCTGTCCTCTTCTCCGTTGTACTCACGCGGTGCTCTGAATTCACTGCACAATACCATCTTCCCGCCCTCACGTTGGCGTATTCAGCACCTACTAGGCATCGAGCCCGACTGATTGCTTAATTACTGATTAATTAATTAATCACGTAGGCATGGAGCCCGACTACGAGACGCTCGAGTGTCGATTCAAGTTTGGGCTGCGCCCGTCCGCCGCGGACGAGGAGGAGGCGCGTTCGGTCGCCTGCTTCTCGGCTTGCCCCTCGAACGGGCTGCTGCGGCAGCAGCTGGAGGGCGAGGCGAGCGGAGCGCGGAGATGCTCCGCCATGGGAGGGCCAACGGTGTTGCGGGGGGGGGGCGAGGAGGAGCCGAGCTGAGCGGGCGGCCACACACAGAGGAGGACAGTTTCCATGGCTAATTCGTAAGGCAAAAGTGTCTTTTTCTCCGTGCCGTACGGCTCTCTGTGGCCTCCTGGGGCGGTGGGGCGGCGCGGGGGCCCCCGGACGCCGGAGGCACCTCCGTGCGAGGAGACGCGAGACGATGGCAGGCCGAGGCGAGACGAGGAGGACAGAAGGCGCGAGGAAAGAGGCAGCGCCGCGGTCGACGGAGGCGACAACGACGGAGAAGGGAAGTGGGAGCGACAACGCGCACAGAGGATGAGGATATGAATTGGGACGAAGCAGCAGAGAGAGGGGAAGGCGAGGGAATCGAGGGACCGGAGGGCTATCGCGCGACAGCGATGATGACGACGAAGGAAAGGGAGGAGATGAAGGGGCGACACGCAGGAAGGGCAAAATCGCGAACGACCCGAGCAGAGAGGGCGACGGCAGGGCACGAGGGGGCAACGGAAACGCTACCGATGACGCGAACCGAGGCACGGGCGACGACGGGGACGGGGAGGGCGACAGCGACATCGAGGTTGACGCAACCGTGTCGAGAGCGCCACCCAAAAGGAGACGGACGGCCATGGAGGTCACCGAATGGAGGGCGAACGGCACGATACGAAAAGGCAGGGCGAGGCGGATGGAGAAAGAAGTGCCGAGGAGGCCATGGTGGAGGGGAGGGACGGGAGGACGAAAGAAGGGCGAGGAGGACGAGCGGCCCGCACATCGCCAAAGTACTGCGCCATCTCGACCTTCTCCTCCACCGCCGCCTTCTGCTCCTCGGTCATGCCGTCCCCGCCAGGCAGGCTGCGCTCGGCGGCCGCCACGTCCTTGCAGAGCACCGTCTTCAGCAGCGCGTCGCACGCCGCCAGCCCGCCGGCGTCGGTGAAGGCGTCGCCGTCCTTCTCGAAGGCGGGCGAGGCGAACTGGAGCTTGGCGGCCGCCTTGTACGTCGACTCGGACACGTCGACGCCCTTTGCAGACACGAGCGACCACGTCGCACCCGCCCACGCCTCCGCCGTCACCGGCACCGTCTCGCCCTTGCCGTGGTAGAGCTGCACCATCGACCACAGGTCCTCCTTGGACGGGCAGCTCGGCTCGGACGACGCCACCGAGCGAGCCTCCGGCTCCGCCGCCTTGCAGAGCACCGTCTTCAGCAGCGCGTCGCACGCCGCCAGCCCGCCGGCGTCGGTGAAGGCGTCGCCGTCCTTCTCGAAGGCGGGCGAGGCGAACTGGAGCTTGGCGGCCGCCTTGTACGTCGACTCGGACACGTCGACGCCCTTTGCAGACACGAGCGACCACGTCGCACCCGCCCACGCCTCCGCCGTCACCGGCACCGTCTCGCCCTTGCCGTGGTAGAGCTGCACCATCGACCACAGGTCCTCCTTGGACGGGCAGCTCGGCTCGGACGACGCCACCGAGCGGGCCTCCGGCTCCGCCGCCTTCTCCGCCAGCGCCGCATCCAAAGCCGCCTGCATCTCCTCCTCGGTCGCGCCGTCCAGCATCGCCTCGTAGGCCGGGAGCGCCGCGTCGAAGGCGTCCACAAGAGCAACGCCGTCCTCGATCGCCTGCTCCACCATCGCCTTGAGCGGGCTGTCGGGGTTCTCGCCAAAGTACTGCGCCATCTCGAGCTTCTCCTCCACCGCCGCCTTCTGCTCCTCGGTCATGCCGTCCCCGCCAGGCAGGCTGCGCTCGGCGGCCGCCACGTCCTTGCAGAGCACCGTCTTCAGCAGCGCGTCGCACGCCGCCAGCCCGCCGGCGTCGGTGAAGGCGTCGCCGTCCTTCTCGAAGGCGGGCGAGGCGAACTGGAGCTTGGCGGCCGCCTTGTACGTCGACTCGGACACGTCGACGCCCTTTGCAGACACGAGCGACCACGTCGCACCCGCCCACGCCTCCGCCGTCACCGGCACCGTCTCGCCCTCGCCGTGGTAGAGCTGCACCATCGACCACAGGTCCTCCTTGGACGGGCAGCTCGGCTCGGACGACGCCACCGAGCGGGCCTCCGGCTCCGCCGCCTTCTCCGCCGCCGCCTTCTGCTCCTCGGTCATGCCGTCCCCGCCAGGCAGGCTGCGCTCGGCGGCCGCCACGTCCTTGCAGAGCACCGTCTTCAGCAGCGCGTCGCACGCCGCCAGCCCGCCGGCGTCGGTGAAGGCGTCGCCGTCCTTCTCGAAGGCGGGCGAGGTGAACAGCATCTTGGCGGCCGCCTTGTACGTCGACTCGGACACGTCGACGCCCTTTGCAGACACGAGCGACCACGTCGCACCCGCCCACACCTCCGCCGTCACCGGCACCGTCTCGCCCTCGCCGTGGTAGAGCTGCACCATCGACCACAGGTCCTCCTTGGACGGGCAGCTCGGCTCGGAGTTCGGCAGCGAGCGAGCAGCTTCGGCAAGCGCGTCGTCGACGGCAGCAGTTGCTATCGCCTTGTCTTCGGCCGCCCGTGCTGCCTCCTCCGTAGCCAACTCGTTTGGAACTATGCCCTCGGCGAGCGCGTCAGCGGCGGCGGCAGCGGCTCCCATCGCCAATGCCAGCGCTTCCTCAGGCGTCATGCCCTTGGCAATCGCGTCTGCAGCGGCCTCAGAGACAGGCTTGGCCACTTCGTAGCTGGGGTCGCTCACCTTCGACATCGCATCGTAGGCAGCCTTTCCAGCTGCTGCTGCCTCCTCAAGGGAAAGACCAGCATCCAAAGCCGCTTTCACAGCCCCGCCAGTCGCCGCCGCAATATTCTTTGCGTCGCTCGGGTCGGCGCCCTCTTGGTGTGCCAGCGCCTCTGCAATCATGCTGGCCCCTGTTGCTCTGGCCACTGAAGCCACCTCCTCCGGACTCCAACCAGCGTCGGCCGCTTGCTGTGCCGTGTACGCCACGGCCTGCGCCATATACGCAGCCTCGTCAGGGCTGACAGCCCCACTTTCCACAGCCTTGGCAGCGGCCTCTCCTGTGAGCAGAGCTATGTCTTCCGGATAGCCACGTTCGAGCGCCTTCTCGGCCGCTTGAGCTGCAATCTCAGCGACTGCCGCCGCCTCATCGGAGGGAAGGCCCATCTTGATGGCATCCGCGGCAGCGTTCACAGCTGCCTTGGCCGCTGTGGGCGACAGACCAGCTTGCAGCGCTGCTTCCTCCGCGGCCTGCTCAGGCCCTTTTGGTGGGGGTGGGCTGAGCAGTGGGGGGTGGGGCTCAGAGGCGGCCGGCTTGAGCTCATCCGACGGGTTGAAGTCCTCCGGAGCCTCGCCGCCGCTGCCGCCGCCAAAGAGACAGCCGTGCATGTGGCCCGGCAGGCCCAGCACTGAGTGCAACGCCGGCCCGTCGCCTGGTGCGCCAGTGAGCGTGCGTCGGGCTTCTATGAGAAGGTTTGGTAGCAAATAGAAACTTAATGTTGGGCGGGTGCACCTGGTTGTGCTTCAAGAAACCCTGCAAAACAGCCGATCATGTCGCTCATGAAGAGTCGTTGCGGAGAGGCAGAGCGGCTGGTCAAGCTCACGGCGGCCGTCACGAGCAGGACCACGAGGCCCGCGCCGACAGCCGACCAATGCCTCCTCCGAGGTGGGTTCTCAACAGCCCTAGCAACGATCATCGGGCTGGGTCTGAGGGTCTGAGGGACACATGAGGACGTACGCGCGTCGCCGACGATGGTTGTATTGGATTTGAATTCACCGGGATAATGCATTTTCGTTTTTTAAATGAACTCGGGGGCACGGGACGCGGCACAAACGGGGCACAAACGCCAGGCTACAAATTTTCGTTTCAATGCCCACGATGCCGCAACACCGCGACGTGGACACGGGGCGCTCCCGGGGCGCTCCCTCCAGGCTCACCGCGAGTAGAAAGTAGAATCGAGCATTGGGAGCTCTCTACATACCAGGACTCAGCACCGACCTGGCAAGGGGCTTTGTTTTTGTTTTTGTGCACGTGTGATGAACTCACACCTCGGCAGTGTGGTCTGGACCGGGCAGGGCAGTGTGGTTTTCACACCCGGGGCAGGTATAGGGATCGGGCAGGGCAGTTGTGCGGCAGTATGCGGGCAGGGCAGTACGGCAGGGCAGGACAGGGCAGTTGGGGTCATAATTGCAGGGCTGAGATTCGGGATCTCAGGTGGTGAAAAAAAAGGGGAGATAATTGCTGTGAACATGGAATTTAGATAACAATCTCAATGAGATGTGTGAAGAGGACGGCCGATCGACGAAACACATGCGCGAGCTCGCGAGCTCATCTGCATCTCAATTGAATCTCAGGGGGGCGCCGTGTGTATAACGGACACGTGGCACTGCAGTTACCTACGTCGACTCCTCACGACTGGATGGCCGAAGCGGGGACTTGGTCTTCTAGGTACCCTACATATACACATATAGCCTACTGGGCTGGGTTTTTAGGCATTGTGGGGTTGGCACTCCCATCGTGCATCGACCCTCATGACCTCCTTGCTCCTACGGTCTCTGAGATGGACACCAGTGGGTGTGGGACCACAGCCAGGATACACACTCGAAGGCTGGGTAAGGAGTGTAGAGGTCGATACTCGACGCGTCCCACATGGTCTGTGTCGTTGTCGGCACGCTGTCGACAGCAGGACGTTGAGCGACACCGGTGGCAGTGCCACCCAGGAGTGGTCGGGCGGTCTCCCGTCATGAGAGAGCCACCATGTGATCCGTATGATGATTCCACTGACAACCGCCTCAGTCAACTTTCGTCACAGTTCCCGCTCTGAGAGGAGCTGCGGGTCAGTTCGACAGCTGGAGCTGTGACGCCGGCGTGCGGCGGCCTGCCTCCGGAGGTGCCTCTGAGGTGGACATTTTTTGGTCACCGTGAGAGAACGCGTTCGAATTTTCACTCCGGAACTTCAACTTCACACGCGCACCGGCCAGGGCTACAATAGTGTCAGTGAGGCGGAGGCGCGAGTCGGAAGGCCGCGACCGTCAAGTGTTCCCGACATTTTTCTACAATCGAGAGAGAGTAGAACGTACAATCGCTGTGAACCCAGCCACGTACGGCTTTCGTCAAAATACGAAAAAGTATAGAAAAAAGTAGAAAAGAAGTTGCCCGAAATTCCTCGCACAACACTGGGCACGCGGGACTGGCGCGCACTGGCACATGTGTGTGGTGGCTGGAGGAGATCAGCCCGGCCGCAGGGTCGCAAGAACACGACTACACAAGCCGCTCGCGCCGCCGGGTGAGCACCCTTTCTCGCCTCTCACCCGAACGTGGTCGTCACGACCGATCCGGCAAACTCGCGCCGCACGACCCTCTCGGCGCCGTCGCCGTCGGTGAGCCTCACCTAATGGCAAGGCAAGCCACACTTCGCCCCACGCCAGGGCGGGTCGACGGGGCAAAGGCCGTGCTCCACCCGCCCACGTCTGCACGTCACAGCTCCGGCGCCCCGCGGGGCAACGGCGCATCGGCGGTGCTAGGTGAAACGGTGGCGTCTCACCTCCAGCGCCGACCCCGCCCCGCACGCCGAGAAGGCGATGCCGCCGGGCAGCGCACACCACCCGCCGCCGATCCCTTCGGCCGCCGCGCCGCCGCCGCGGTACGAGGCGAAGCACGGCGCGTTGACGGCGCGCGCGACGAAAGCGGCGTCAAGCCCCGACGCGGCGGGGCGGCCGGGCGAGAGGGCTTGGCTCAGCTCTCCAGCCAGGGCGCCTAGCGGCAGGTCGAGCGACCGGTGGGGGGCATGAGCTAGGGGGCGGGGGGGGGGGGGGGGGACAAAATGAAGCTCGTAAGAGAGAGAGGGAGAGGGAGAGGGAGAGAGAGAGCTCAAAGTGCGCTCAAGAGCGCGCTTCGAGTCGGCCGGTGGCCTGCCAAGTTGTCGCCCCGGGGTGTGAGGGGGGGCTAGGAGAGGGAGATGTGGCGAGATCTCGTCGCGCCGGCGTCGGCCCAGCGCCGCTCGACAGCGACGCGCGCGCGCTTGCCGCGCGCCAGCTGGCCCTACGGGACATGTCCGGGACATGTCCGTGACGTGTCCGGGACATGTCCGGGGCGGGCGGCGGCCAGAGCTGCTATTCTCGGGAGGGTGGAGACGGGGGGGGAGGCGTCGACGGAGGAGGCGAGGACGGAGGAAGCGACGGGTCGGGGCTCAATGGAGACACGGGGGGAGGGGGAGGAGAATGAAGAGAGAGTGGTGGCCGTGGCGCGCGCCGCTGCCGCATCCCACTGCAGGCTCAGCCGGGTGCGGAGGCGTGCCCCGTCCGCCGCTCGGCTCTCAAAGTGCGTGCGGAGGTACCAGTCCGGCCCTGCAGCGTGTGGTCCAGACACACATTCACTCAGGTGCATCTGAGACGTGCCTCGAAATCATGGCGTCGGGATTCGCACCGCCGTCGCCGGGCGGGTCGTCGAGCGTGAAGACGCGCAGCGTCGCGTCGCCGCGCACCTTGGCGTCGAGCGAGTCGGAGGAGACGCGCGAGACGGACATCTCGGCAGCCAGGTTGTCGCAGGCGCAGCCCTCCGCCGGAAGGATGCGGAGAAAACGCCGTTGCAGTTCGCCGCCCTCGACGGCTGCCGTGCAGAGGATCTCGAAGCCCGCGGGCTGCATCCCATACTCAATGGTTGCCGCGTCGAGGTACCGGTCGTCGACCGGAAGGAGTGTGCCGTCCGGCTTGAATTCGCACTGCCAGCCGGCCCACTCTCCGACATTCGCTTCGGCAAAGGCCTGAGCGCTGCTGCTTGGCGAGCTGAGCATGCTCAACGGGAATCCTTTTCCGCGGCCCTCACAGACTATCCGCGCCGAGCTACTGGGGGACTGCCGGAGCGAGAGCGCGAGCATCCACGAAAATAAAGCGCGCGTGGCCCGCCAAAAGAAAGCCGAGTTCGGACCTGGGCCCTCGGGGAGGCCTGCGGGCGGCCTTCTCTCGAGGTCTCGAGATACACAAAACGGCCAAGAGCGCGAGCTTCCGTAAAAAAGATTTTGCGCGCGAAAAGAAAAGGCGCGCCAAAATACAAAATTCTTCGCGCTCTACTGCCCGCCCTCGCCCTCGCCTACCGCCTCCCGCCTCCGCCCGCCGACCCGCCGCCAGCTCGTCCGCCAACCCGTCGTCTCTGTCGCCTCTCGCCCGCCCGCCATCGCCCTCGCCTTTCACCTCCCGCCGCCTCCCGCCGACCGCCACGCCAGCTTGCCTGCCGCCCTGTCGTCTCGCCTGTCGCCTGCCCGCCCTCGCCGCCTCTCGCCGACCACCACGCCAGCTTGGCCGCCGCCCTGTCGTCTCGCCTATCGCCCGCCCGCCCTCGCCCTCGCCCCCTCCTCCCGCCACCACCCTCGCCTCACCCTCCCGCCGCCTCGCCGCTCGCTTGCTCGCTCGCGCGCCCGCTCGCGCCTGGCTTTCTACTTCCTCGTGATCGCCCGAATCTCTCCTTCCTCGTGATCCACCCTCGCCTCACCCTCCCGCCGCCTCGCTGCTCTCGCTCGCCGCTTGCTCGCCCGCCCGACTTTCCACTTCCTCGTGATCCGAACCGCCACCACCCTCGCCTCACCCTCCCGCCGCCTCGCCGCTCTCGCTCGCCGTTCGCTCGCCCGCTCCCGACTTTCTACTTCCTCGTGATCCATCTCGCCGCCCGCTCGCTCGCTCGCGCTCGACCTCCTACTTCCTCGTGATCCACCGCCGCCACCCTCGCCTCGCCCTCCCGCCGCCTAGCCGCTCGCTCGCCGCTCGCTCGCACGTTCGCGCTCGACCTTCTACTTCCTCGTGATCCACCGCCGCCACCCTCGCCCCGCCCTCCCGCCGCCTGGCAGCCGCTCGCCTGCCGCTCGCTCGCACGTTCGCGCTCGACTTTCTACTTCCTCGCGATCAACCCGCCGCCACCCTCACGCCACCCTCGCCTCACCCTCCCGCCGCCCGCCAAGCCGCTCGCTCGCCGTCCGCTCGCCCGCCCGCGCCAGACCGTCTACCTTCTCGTGATCCGCCCGCCGCCACCCTCGCCTCACCTTCCCGCCGCCAAGCCGCTCGCTCGCCGCTCGCTCGCACGCCCGCGCCAGACCTTCTACCTCCTCGTGATCAACCCGCCGCCACCCTCGCCTCACCCTCCCGCCGCCAAGCCGCTCGCTCGCCGTCCGCTCGCCCGCTCGCGCCAGACCCTCTACCTCCTCGTGATCCGCCCGCCGCCACCCTCGCCTCGCCCTCCCGCCGCCTAGCCGCTCGCTCGCTCCTATCCGTGCCACCCTATCCGTGGTCCTGCCGCCACCGCGCCATCCTCGCTTCTTCCTGCCGCCGCCCTCTGCTCAGTCGTTTGACCCGCCGCCCAATGCTCCGCCGTTCGCTGCCGTGGTCTGCCGCCGTGCCGCCGCTCCTTACCGTGCCGCTCCTTCCGCGCCTCGCCGCCCTTGCCATTTATTCGCCGTCCCTCCTGCCGTGCGTTACCGCCGTGCCGCCGTACCGCCGCTCCTACAGTGCCGCGCCGCCTCCCACACGCACACACCCTACCTCCTGCTCGACCGAGTTTGCGATGAGAAGTGACCCGAGCCGCCGGGTGCCCCGCAGCGGCCTCGCTGGACCAGAAGAACCGGTCCGCGAGTGCTCCGCAGCAGCCTCGCTGAGCCAGAACGTCGGCTCGCGAGGTGGGGTGCTAGTATGAGCCCGATCCGTCGTAGAGTTCTTGCGCTTCGGCGGTTAGTGGTGCACTAACCTCCGAGAAACCCTTCGGGTCGCTCCTCATCGCAAACCCTGTCAGCAGAGTCTCCTACGGGAATGTACGTAAGAGCTACATACACTGAGAGAGAGAGAAATCGAAAGCAAGCGTCGACGGCGGCCAGGGCGAGGCATGAATGGTGGGCTCGGTGGCGGCGGCGAGGGAGGCGGTAGGGGCGGGGGCGGCGCCAGCGGCGGCGAGGGCTTCGACACCACGGGCTGCGGGCTCGTGGATGGCGTCGGTGCCATCCTTCGCTCTCGACGTCGCTGGGCGAATGGCACCGACCTCGATGCGGAAGACGGGCGTGCTCACGATGGACGGGCTGCGCCGGTGGACTGAGCTCAAGAAGGGCGTGCTGCGTGTGTACGCCGACGAGTCTGCGAGCGGCGCGCCGCTGCTCGAAGCATCCCTGCTGTACGTCGAGGTCACCTCCCACAATGCCACGCCAGCGACCTTCCACCTCGCGCCAATTTCGCCCTGCGAGCTCCGCATCACCGTCGAGCCTGAGGCTCTCAATCGAGCCATCGATCGTGGGCGCGGCTCGATGCCGACCCCGGTCGGTGTCGGCATGTGCGGCGGCGGCATGCTGAACCCGCACGCTGCGACGACCGAGCACAGCGGCGGCATGGCGCGTGTGACTGTCTGCCTCTTCGCCGAGAGCACCGCCGAGAAGATGGCGTGGGCAAGCGCGTTGAGCGCGACCGCACACGGGCGTCGGCAATGGGCGCACGCGCGGCACGAGCTCAACACTGCGATCGCCGGAGTCAAGGACAGCATGGGACGCGCGACCGGCAGCAGCAGCAACCGAGCAGCCCGCCCGTGAGACCCCCTCGACCCGGGTTGTCGCGACTGGTTGCACATCCGTGTCGAACATCCGTGCGCATGTCTCGATAATCATGTAGAATGTATAGCGCGACCGTGCAGCGTCTAGTCTCGAGAGGGGTAGTGTACGAAAAACACTCCTGTACGTTCGGTTCTCTGGTAGGACGGGAGAACGAGATGATAGTAGGGAGTAGAAGAAAGCAAAGAGGAGCCCTGCGCACGCACGACTCCGCAGGAGAAGCCCCCCCCCCGCCCGAGCGCCCGTGCTTGTGCAGCGCAGCCTCGTGTGCGTCGCCCATCTCTCCCTGAGATATTTATTTATTTATTATCCCACGACAGCGATTGTGGGGAGAAAGAAAACAAGCTTGGGAATTCTTTTGGTCAGACAGGGGTCGCGGCTTTAAATTCTTTTGGTCCAGTCCGAGCCAGTCTGCTGTGAGAGGGGCTTGGATGGTAAAATACCTCCCCCGGTATTTATACCGGTAGGGAGGCGTGTGCCGAATACAAAGTGGAGTCCCGCCCGCCCCGCAATAAGCGCAGATGTCCTCTTCAGCCTGCCGAGAGCCTCCTGGCCCGCGCGCGCGCTCCGCCTGCCGCGCGGAGCGACTCGGTGGACGTCCGAGCCCGCCGCCCCTCGCCACTGCACCCTGCCGGCCCATGCAGCGCGACACCGCCGGCGCTGCGCCTGCTTCCTTGCGCGCCGCTGGACGTCGGCCGAAAAGTCCGCTTCCCTCTGGGGACCCGACTCCGCGAAGATCGCGCGCGCGTCGTGAATGCGGCGCGCGCGCGATCTCTGCTCCCGGGCACGCCGGTCGCAGTGGCATGGGATCCCAGGCTCAAAACATCGCTCAAACAGCGAGAGCGCCGCGCTGCTCCTCCTCCCGCCGCCGCTCCGCTCACCGAGACAAACTCGGTGCCGCCGTTCTCGCCGCCGCCGCCGCCGCCGCCGCCTCGCCCCTCGCCTCCGTCACCGCCGCCCTCCATCTCGCGGCGGCGTCCCTCTGACATGGCGCGGGCGCCTCGCTCGCCGGCGCCTCGCCGCTGCCCCCCTCTCGCCGCCGCTCCGCTCGTGGCCGCCGCCTCCCCTGTCAATCCCGCCGTCCGCACCACCGCTGCCACCGCCTCGCGCCTCGCCGCCGCCGCCGCCGCCCTCCCCCTCGCCGCTGAGCGGTGCTTGGCGAGCCTTCTCACCCGCCCGGCGGCGCGCTGCGCGCACAGCCTGTGGGTCAGCCTGTGCACACTCTCTCCTTCTCTGTACTATCCCGCCGTCCGCACCACCGCTGCCACCGCCTCGCGCCTCGCCGCCGCCCTCCCCCTCGCCGCTGAGCGGTGCTTGGCGAGCCTTCTCACCCGTCGCCCGGCCGCGCTGCGCACAGCCTACGGCTTTACCCCTAGGAGCTAGGTGCACACTCTCTCCTTCCTCTGTACTCTGACTGCGCCGCCGGCGCCGCCACGCATGCAGTTGGGTGCTTGGGTCAGCGGCGTGAGCCGAGAGGTGGCCCACCGCTGACAGCGCTCAGCGCGCGGGGGGGGGGGGGGGGGGCGCCCCGCGCCCACACACGCGCCCAGCGGCCAGCGCAGCAGCACGACGGCTCCTCTCGCCACCCCACGCGCGGGGGCGTGACGTCTGTAGCGAGGCGACGGACGGTGGGACGGTGTCTGACCCGTTCTGGGGTTTTCATATGATGCCGCTCTACTCGTATCGACCAATAAAATACCGGGGGAGGCCTGCGCAGCCTCTAACTATTCTTTTGGTCCAGCGCCACACCGGCACCCTCGCCTCGCTCCGAAACTGCCCGGCCTGGCGATGGTGCTCCCCTACCTGCGTCCCTACCACCAGCTCGGCAAGCTCGTCGGCTATGTTGTGCGCGCAAAGACGATGGCCAAGACGGCGCGCCTCCGCCGGCACGTGCGCGCCAGGCGCCAGGCGCCGCCCCCACCCCGCCCGCCGGCGCGCTCAGGTCGTGGTGAACATCCCCTGGTACTGGCGTCATCCCAAGTACCAGCGCATCGTGCTCAAGCGGACCCGCCTGTTTGCGCACGACGAGTTTGACCTGTGCTCCGTCGGCGACATGGTCCGACTGCAGATGGTGCGGCCGCTCTCCAAAAAGAAGTCGCACGTGGTGGCCGCCATCCTCCGCCGAGAGGACGGCTCGGCGCCGCCGTCGCCCTTCCCCAACGTCCACCTGTCGCGAAACGTGTGGCCAGAGGAGGCGGAGGAGGCGCGAGTCGCCGCTGGCCTGCCAGAGAGGGTTGCCGGGCCGGGCGTGGAGGGGAGGCTGCGAGGGGGTGCGCAGTGAGAGAATCGAGTGCCACTATTACGATTCGAAAAAAATGAGAGGAAGGGAAAAAGGGAAGAGTCAAGAGACGCGCGAGACGTAGAATAGCAATTGAATCTGAGCCCTGGCTGTCAGGCTGTCAGGTGCTGTCAGGTGATCTGTCGGGCTGTCGGGCAGCTGTCAGGCACTGTCAGGTGCCTCTGTCAGACCAGCTGTCGGGTGCTGTCAGTGCTGTCGGGTGCTGTCGGGTGCGTGTCTGACAGTCGAGGGGCTCTGTAGCTGTCGGGTGCTGTCAGAGCTGTCGGGTGTTGCTGTCAGACGCTGTCGGAGCTGTCAGAGCTGTCAGGCTGCTGCTGCTGTCAGACGTTGGGCTGTTGCTGTCAGGAGAGGTGCTGTCAGGTGCGAGGTGGTGCTGTCGGGTGCTGTCAGGCTCTGACACACACCAGCCACACTTATGACACTATCAAGAGGAGACCAGCAGGACTCTACTGCACACATACTCTAGTCTCTACTCTGCCTCCGGTCCCACCATCTTCTTCATGGTGGACGTCACCATCTTCTTGTCTGCCGCACTGAGAGAATAGCAGAGAGGCAGACTGGAGTGCTTCTTCAGGTACACCTTGCTGATGATCTGGTAGTTGCTGGTCCAGCGGAAGGCCTCCCCATCGTTGTCGCTCGTCAGCTTGTAGCGCTGCTGTCAGGCCACTGTGTGCTGTCGGGCTGTCGGGCAGGCTGTCAGGCTGTCACGTTAGGGCCTGACAGCGACAGAGCCCCTCGACTGTCAGACTCTGCTGTCAGGCTGTCAGATACGTGCTGTCAGGCTGTCAGAGAAGTGCTGTCAACGCTGTCAGGCTGTCGGGCACTGTCAGGCGCTGTCCGGGGTTTGCTGTCAGGCTGGGTCAGACCAGGGCTCAGAATTGAATATAGCAATTGCCCTTCTCCGCCTTCGGCTATGCTCTCGCTGTGCCGATGTGCGCGACCGATGATCTCCGCGCGCCCGGGGGGGGGGGGGGGGGGGAGCTCCGGCGTGTCGTGGCCGCGGGGCCGCGGCGCCCCCCGGCCCCCGCCGCCGCCCGGCGCCGCGCGCGCACGCCGGACGCCGCCTTCGGATCCGCCACGCCACCAAGGGGAGATGGACCACGACCACAGCATCTTGTGATGAGGTGGGACTACGTTCCTGACCTGACGCCTGCGCCCGGAGGAACCTCGGCCGGACCGTCGAGCGTCGTATGTTCAATCCGAACTCTGTCGAGCCTTCGTAAGGTAGTGTAAGACCTTCCTGGGTCTGTCGCTCACACCCTCACTGTCGATGTCTGCGAGGTTCTTTCTTGTTTCTTATCACCCTAGTGTGAATCTGCGCGCCCTTCGGGTACTCTCCCCCCATCCCCAGGGCCTTCAGAGCTCGCACCTCAACTCTCACAGACCAGCGCACCGCGCCATAGGTGTATTTTCTTCTCAATAACGGCTGTGAATATCCCCAGGGCCTCCAGGGCTCGCACCTCAACCTCTCACAGGCCAGCGCACAGCGCCATAGGAGGTATTTTCTTCTCAATAACAAGGCTGTGAAGAGCCGGGTGCTTTTGCCGAACTTTGGACGTCGGTAAGGACAGAGCCGGGTAAGGTGTTCCGTACACACGCGCTTGCCCGCGCGCGGCGCAAGACCTATGCTGGCCGTCGTCGTAGCGCTGACCGCTGCGTTCACGGATCAGTCGAGTGTGCCGACTGTTGTGGCTCCAATCGTGGTGGCCGCTGTCGCGGCTGTGGAGGCGCAACCGCCGCCGCCGCCTCCACCTCTCGAAACTCGCGAGATCCTGGTGACTGTGCCTGAGGGGGTGACCGCGGGCCAGGCTATGATTGTCAACAGTCCGTATGGCGGGCGGCTACAGGTTGTCGTACCAGCCGGCATCACTTCGGGTCAGCAGTTGCGCATCAAAGCCCCTGTCAGCATAGCAGACTCGCCGCCGCCGCCCGCTGAAGCCGCCGAGCCCAAGATAGCACCCGCTGGAATGGACTCCAATGCAGCATCGCCGCCACCTCCTCCTGATTCGGAGGAGAGGTCGACGCCGGAGGAGGACGAGGAGGGATCTGAGGATGAAACTACGCCTGCCAAGAAACCTTCGCCGGCGGAGTCTACGCCTACGCCGGAGGAGGACGAGGAGGGATCTGAGGATGAAACTACGCCTGCCGACGAGACATCGACGGTGACCGCATCGCCTGTCGAGGGATCGACTGCGACCGCGGACAAGGATGCTCCGACAGAGCACGCTACAGCATTGACATCGTCAAATGCGACGACCGCATCGCCTGTCGAGGGGTCGACTGCGACCGCGGACAAAGATGCTCCGACAGAGCACGCTACAGAATTGACATCGTCAAATGCGACGACCGCATCGCCTGTCGAGGGGTCGACTGCGACCGCGGAGAAGGATGCTCCGACAGAGCACGCTACAGCATTGACATCGTCAAATGCGACGACAGCGGAAGCTCCAGAGGCGACATCTACACTGACTCCATTCATCATCAGATTGGTTCTCGAGCACTTTGAGGCGCTCGATGCAGACAAAAGCGGCTCCTTGAGCAAGGCAGAATTAGAGACGGCGCTTCAAGTAAGAGCCAATGCGTCAGAGGTGACTGCAGCAGGAGGGCTTGCCGCCGTGTTGGAGGCCGAAGCGGCCGTCCAAGAAGGCACGGCGGGAGCGGCGGGCAAGGCGGAAGTAGCGAGCGAGCCAGATAGCGCAGAGGAAGCGGGAGAGGCGGATGGGACGGAAAGCACTGACCAGGGGGGCGAGGAGGAGGGGGAGGAGGAGGCGGGAGACGGTACTGATGATGAGGCGGCAGAGCAGGGCGCACCAGACTCAGCGCAGCAGCTGCGCAAGGGCCACGGCAAGCACAAAGGTCACGGCAGTCGAGCCAAAAGCGGCCCAGCCAAGAACAGTGACGATTCGGCCGTAGGCGAGGACGCTATGACAGAGGCAGTCGCGGAGGATGCGGGAGAGGCGGATGGGACGGAAAGCACTGACCAGGGGGGCGAGGAGGAGGGGGAGGAGGAGGCGGGAGACGGTACTGATGATGAGGCGGCAGAGCAGGGCGCACCAGACTCAGCGCAGCAGCTGCGCAAGGGCCACGGCAAGCACAAAGGTCACGGCAGTCGAGCCAAAAGCGGCCCAGCCAAGAACAGTGACGATTCGGCCGTAGGCGAGGACGCTATGACAGAGGCAGTCGCGGAGGATGCGGGAGAGGCGGATGGGACGGACAGCACTGACGAGGAGGGCGAGGAGGAGGGGGAGGAGGCGGCGGCGGGAGACGGTACTGATGATGAGGCGGCAGAGCAGGGTCAGCCTAACTCAACGCAGCGGACGCACAAAGGCCACGGCGGGCACAAAGGGCTAATCAAAGGTCACCACGGTAGTCGAGCCAAAAGCAGCTCGGCCGAGGACAGTGATGATTCGTCCGATTTAGCGCCACAAGGCGAGGACACTACGACGGAGGCGGCCGAGGAACAAGAGGCTAGCGAAGCAGAAGCAACGGCACAGGAGGCGCCCGCGGCCCGGTCCAGCTCCGCTAAGTTCGATGACTATTTCGCTTCCCTGTCGTCCAAATCGCCCCAATCCCAATCTGGCGAGTCATCCGATGTAGAGGTCGCACCACATAAGAGCGGTGCCCATGGCGGTCACGGTGGTCATGCCGGCGGGACGGCACGCACAAGGGCCATGCCAGCGTCAAGAACCATGGGAGAGGTAGAAGAGCAGGCGCCAGGGGGTGAATCAGGGGGTGGGGCTGAGTCAGAGCCGGCACCATCCCCCCGCCGCCGCCCGCCGTCTCCGCCCCCCCCCAAGAAGACCGCGCCGCCGCCCCCACCCAAGAAGACCGCGTCTAAGAAAAGCACGGCCAAGAAGGACGCGCCCAAGAAGAAGGGGTAATAGCGGATGCCATCGCGTTATAGTAGGGATGCCTTCTCTTCGCCCTGTGGCTGTGCGACGTGACTGAGGAGGCGTTGAACTCGATCACTGTTGACTCCTCCGACCTCACACGTCACAGCCCAGTGGTGCAGCTGAAGGGGCCGGCCGCGCCGCCTAGGGGGGCCTAGCGCGCCGCGCCCCCGCGCCCCGCGGCGCAGGGGCCAGGGCCGCCGCCGGCGCCGCGTTTATTAAATCAGATATCTCTTCTCACGTCACCACAGCGTGTGACACACTCTTTTTTTTATATCACTTTATACATCACTTTGTTGATTTGTACACATGATCACACACAGGCGGTCACAGTTATAACAACGAATAAAAAAGAAGCACCCCGTGCGTGCCACGCGCGGGAAGTGGGAGCGACCCCCCTGGATACGCTTTGTTATAAGAGCGCCGACCCCACACAAATCAGGAGATGAGGTGCGGCAAGCTGGCGAAGATGTCGCGCGTCTGACAATCGGTCCCGGGATCAAACCCGACGCCAAAGTCGCGCAAGCGCCAGCGGCTGGGATCCGTTGCCGCCGCGCCGACCTCGCCGCTCACGAGGACAAGAGGCCGCTCCGGCGACCACCTGACGATTGCCTTGCCGATCCGCAGCTCGACCTGCCGCCGACGGCCGGCTCCGCGTCAGAGACATCCCGGGCGAGAGCTGGCAGGGGGGCTAGCGGGGGGGGGGGCGGCGGCCGCGGGGGGGGGGGGGGGGGGGAAAACCCCAGGCAGTG